AATAATAATAATAATAAAGGGCTGATACAAACAACTATGCCAACCAACTTTTCAGTACAGATGAAAAAAATTCTTTGAAAGATACTAAGATACCAAAGTTCACTCTGGAAGAAATAGATTCTGAACAGCCCTATTTCTATTAAGCTAAATTTATGGATAACAAAATTCCCACAAAGAACATTCTAGGTCCAAATAACTTCACTGTGAATTCTGTCAAATATTTAAGAAAGAAATAATACCAAATTTACATAAATTCTTCCAGAATAGTATATATGCTCTTTCAGAACACTTTCTCTTTCTATAATCCAGGATTACCTTGATATTAAAACCACACAAAGATATTACATTACAAGAAGCTGGGCATGGTGGCTCACACCTATAATCCTAGCATTCTGGGAGGCCAAAGTGGGTAGACTGCTTGAGCTCAAGAGTTTGAGACCATCCTAAGCAAGACCAAGACCCCATCGCTACTAATAGAAAAATTAGCTGGGCATTGTGGTGGGCGCCTGTAGTCCCAGTTACTTGGGAAGCTGAGGCAAAAGAATCACTTGAGCCCAGGAGTTTGAGGTTGCTATGAACTATGATGCCACAGTACTCTATCCTGGGACAACAGAATGAGACTCCATCTCAAAAAACAGAACAAAAGGCATTAACAAGAAAAAGAACTCTCATGAACTCAGACTATAAATTAATGAAATTTTAACAAATAATCCAGCAATATATGTATTAAAAAATAACATACCATGACAACAAGATTTAAGAATGTAAGGTTAATTCAGCATTCACACTTGGTCTTAGCCAAAAGGTGGAGAAGTGATATAGTTCAGCATCCAAAAACCAATCAACATAATTCAGCATATCAAATGAAAGGAAAAAAACTCATGGGATCATTTTAATAGATGGAGAAGTATTTCATTAAATTCAATATCCATTCAGGAAGAAAGCTCTCAACAAATTAGGAATAGACGGGAACATCTCAACTTGATAAACAGTATTTCAAAAAATCTACCACTAGGACAGCGCCTGTGGTTCGGTGGGTAGGGCCCCAGCCCCATATACTGAAAGTGGCCCGGCCCCGGCCAAACTACAACAAAAAAATGCCGGGGCTGGGCACCTATGCCTCAAGCGGCTAAGGTGCCAGCCATATACAACTGAGCTGGCTGGTTCGAATCTAGCCTGAGCCCACCAAACAACGACGGCTGCAACAAAAAAATGACCGGGCATTGTGGTGGGCGCCTGTAGTCCCAGCTACCTGGGAGACGGAGGCAGGAGAATTGCTCGAGCCCAGGAGATAGAGGTTGCTGTGAGCTATGATGCCACCGCACTCTACTCAGGGCAACAGCTTGAGGTTCTGTCTCAAAA